TATATATATATATATATACACACACACAAAAGTCTGAATATATATATACAAAAATCCTGAATATATATACAGAAAAGGTCTGAATATATATATATACAAAAATCCTGAATATATATACAGAAAAGGTCTGAATATATATATATACAAAAATCCTGAATATATATACAGAAAGTCTGAATATATACAAAAATCTGAATATATATACAAAAAGTCTGAATATATATATAAAGAAAGTCTGAATATATATATACAAAAATATGAAGCCTATTTGATCACACTGCCCGTATCTACGCCTGCACAACCGGCCACGCTCCTGTTTCTTCTGCCTACGTAGCGGGGCGTATAAAGTATGTAAAAAAAAACAAACAAAAAAAAACCCCATCAAAGCGACACAAACAGCGTCTATATGAACGTCTATCTTTATTCACTCTTCATTACTTTTTTTTACGGATCACGGTTCACTCACAACGTGGAAGTAAGCATGAACAATACAAATTAAAATGTATAGAGAACACACTACACTGCGTCATATAACAGCTATCAAATAAAGTAAACATATCTTTGCATTACTCTCGCTCTTTTCCTTTCTGCAAGACACGTTATTGGAAAGCAAAAGCAAAACAGCTAATGCTGTGTAACAGAACATACATATCAAGGTAACAAAGTAGACTAGAGAAATTCAAATCACCAAAGACACTGATCATCATCCGCATAAAGGATGCAGGGCTGTTGCACAAGCCCTGGGGAAGCCGATTGTATTCGTACAGGCCCAAAGGTGTTGTAAAGGCTGTGTATTTTCTGTCTGACTCATGGAGGGGAATGTTGTAAAACCCCGATGTAAGGTGCATGGTGCTGAAAAAGGCATTTCCCCCAGTGCAGCAAGACAATTGGTGGGGCAGTGGGTGAGCATCCTTAATTCCTACATGCATTCCTACACAATGTGACAGGGCTCATTGCCCGGGTTAATAATTTTCATCGGCACCCATCTGTTGCCCGACAAATGTGCTACAACCTGACCCACAATGATGTCCTTGAGGGCAGAGTGGGAAGACGTGGGCTCCACAATGACAGCGCTTCCAGGTGAAACAGGAGCATTACCAGGTAACTTCGCCCACACTAAGTACTCCTGCTGTGGAGCAAGAGTGACAGCCTGATGCAGCTTGACAGTACCAACTTTCTCAGGCTGTTCAGACCCTGACCAACGTGTAACACAGCTGAGCAACTGCTCGCACTGAGGGTCAGAAGTATTTGAGCAAATGAGCTCCCAGTATTTCTCATCCGATCTCAGACCCTGTATCAATGGCCTGATGACGTTAGTCCCAATTATGAGCTCATCTCTCTGTCCTGGAACAAGGAAAGTAGGCATGACAAATTTCAAACTGTAAATCTCAACAGCCAGCTCATAAATGCAACGAGGTTGTGTCATGAGACCACCACAACCAACAAGGACTACCTTCTCAGGAACAGCCTGAGGACTTGGTAAAACACCAGCATCTCTGAGCTTGGACTCCCCCTCCACACTGAGTGTGCATGACATACTTCCAGAATCAATCATACCTTTCAAAGTGGCCTGATCCCCGACAGAAACTGGAGTGTAAAACAAATCACTAGCCATTCAACTCTGTGAGAACCAACAACAACCACTGTATTGTCACTGGGAAAATTACTACAGCAATTCACATAGACCGACTGCACATCTTCTCTGACAGCGAGGGTTTCACCAATGCTGCCCATGCTACCTCTCTCTTCACACAGGCACACTAGTTTAAATGCCAAAGAAGGTGAAGGGGCAATGCAGCTGAGGGGCTGGAAAGCCGTGGACACACCTGCCTAACATGGCCAGTGACCATCCAGACGCTCCTGAACCTCAGCTGCAGTCCACTGTTCAGGAGCCTTTAGCTTTAAGGACATGGCAAGACTGGGATCGGGGCAGTGGTTAATAAACATCATGACCACCTCCCTGCACTGGGATCCTCAACAGACTTACCCCTTCTACGGAGGCACTCACCAGCAACATCAATGGACTTGTTAAGGCAGATCCAGTAATCCATAGCATTCTCATTAGCATGGGGAATAGTAGCATTAGAATCTTTCGTGGGCAAGTTGGAATATGACTGCTCACTAAAGTTGCACTTCAATATGTCAAAGACAGCAAAAGGCAGATTTGATGGCCTCAGTCCATCGCGACTGCGGAGGGACACCTTAACCACATCTCTGGCTCTGCCTGTCAGTCTTGACATGTATCACATTTTACTCTTTTGAGATAACATGTCATCATATCCTCCCATTCCTGAACAGAAACATATCAGTGTGGTCACCCCTGAAGTAAGGCGGTGCTTTAACGTCAGACTGCATGAGGACCTTGAGCTGCCACAAACTGGCATCACTAAATGGCTGACATTGGGTCTAGTATGCATTGGTCTGCTGCACATTGCTAAGGTTGGCTTAAATAGTGTCTCCAATTTTCTGGGCCAAATCTGTGAATAAAGACCCAAGAGCCTCAACCGGGACTACTTGTGTAGGCTCAGGGGCAGAAATATTAAGGGTGTGGAGCTGGCAGTGGGAGCTAATAAATGATTAAAAGCTGACTGATCAGCTGTGTAGTTGAGGGCACCTCCAGACATGGACCTACCCCTACCAAAACATCCATTCCTGCCATCATGGCTAATTAAGGGCGTATGCAGAGGAGGAAAAAATAAAAACAATAATAGCACTTAAGAAAAAATAATAATGCAGAAAATACCCTTCTTTAAACCGTCACCGGACGACACTTCATACGTCACGTAGCGACACCGTAATTACAAAAATCAACTGATCCGCAAACCAACAGACCTGATGCGTATGCGCCGAAAGCTGGACGCGAAGAAGCCAGATAGCAATTAGTAACTTAGCTCCTCGCCGACACAGCGCATGAGAGCCGGAGAGTCGCGGTTCAGGTCCGCAGCTAGTGAGCGTAGCTCCTCGCAGGTACCATCGAAGATCTGGAGAGCAGGACCGGAGCTAGCGAGCGTTGCACTTCGCCGGTGCCGTTGAAGAGGGGAGGAGGCGAAAAGTTTGCAGGAGCAGTACCCCGGGTAACCAGTTGACGCGGATTGGAGATCCGACGGGTCACCGCACCAAGGGTAACCGGTGTAGCTTCTGCGTTGTGTTTTAAGAAAGCTGTTGCGCTGCAGTCACCAAGGCCTTTATTGATCTAACGGAATTTACGTAGAACAAAATAAATTCTCCTCCTGGACACCACCCGAGCCCCTACAAAGTACACATAAAATAAATATATTGCACAGAATTAAATAAAATGTTGAAAACAAATAGCAACAGAAAAACACTAACCTCTCCAACAAAGTTGGGAGAGGTTGGGTGAGACTGACTCACCTGAGACTGACTGATAATATATTTCCAAACAATTTGTTGTTTTATGGGGATCCCCTGTGCCGCCTGGTCGGTGGTAGCAGGCGTAGGTCCGCCCCGATTGTGGCACTGTGGTCAAAAGGGTTTCAATTTTTGTATATATATTCAGGATTTTTATATATATATTCAGACTTTTTGTATATATATTCAAAGATTAATTTCCTAAACGGCATGCCATAATATATATATATATATATATGATCTGCCTCTATTTTAACTTTACTTAATACAAATGCACATGACGTATGTTCGATTTGACCTAAGAACAGCTGTGGACGTTTAGATGTATATTCCCCCTCAGTACTTTTATTCAATGGTCGCGCCCAAATCTGCTATTCATTGGTTCTTTTCTGTAGTTTTGACCCGAGAGATTGTTTTCATTTACTGTTGTCGGTCTAAAATTAGTTTTTATTCTTTAATACAATGGAAGCGTGAATATACCACCTTATGATTAATACTATGAAAGTATTTCTGTTTTTGACACCCCTGTCATTATTGGTTTGCGCCGCAGCCACTTCCTTGTTTAAAAGTTTTTATTTAGGGTAAAGCTTGTACAGAAGTTGGCCACCGTTTCTGGACCGTTTGAACAGTTGTTGTGTAATTTTTAAGCTCATTGTGGTACGTTTTGTTAACGGCAACTTTTATGGCCACTACAGCATTTCAAACCTCATGGCTTTAACGGTCCGTTGGCGGCTAATGTTGCACTGAGAACCTCTGTGAAGAGGAAGATGTCTAGGGCTAGCGTCAGCGAGGACATCCGTGAGAAGTTTCCTCTGCACTCTGCAGTATGGGTGAATGATTTCAGGAAACTGGAAGAACTCATATCCACCACACAGGTAGGTAAACATGAACACACAGTACACGGTCGTAGCTGCTAACACCGACGCACACATACGGATGTCCGTTAGCTTAATGAAAAGAGCTGTTGAATCTGTAAAAGTAAAGTAGGCCAGCAGTGTTGACGGATGATTTGGAGTGTATCTCTCTCTTTCCATCTCTTTCACGCGCTCGTAGACACACACACGCTTACATAGAAACAACGTTTGGAATGTCACAGATAAACCACATCTCCGAGATCGACCCGTTTGTTTGTTTTTCTCAAAACAGAACAAACGTGTTGTACAATAGCAATAATTGTTGTCTGGAAGTATTCCTCCAAATACTAGCCATGTAAACACCACTGGCCTCACATACTGTAGTTTCGCTTTTCAACGCTGTATACAGTAAGTGCTTGGTGTCTAGTGTAGTAGACACTAGTCAAAGCATCATGGCAGAAAGAAAATCTGTTGGACTGGGGAGCTAGAGAATTGTTAATAATCGCAAATCAGCAGAATACACACAGTTATCTAAACAAATCTAGGTGTTGACACTGGAATGAGAAGTATAGTCAACAAGATTAAAAAGATCAATGTAGCACAGGTGGAATTGTTTCAAGTTTCACTGAGGCGATCCAGGAAAATTAGGAGACAGACTGTAGGGATATCATAAGTTGGTTATATGTCACTTGTGACATATAACCAACTGTTTGTGGTACTAAGATGATGCTCGTGTTAGGAGGTAAAAATTAAAGGCAATCACCAGGAACACCATCCTAACAGTGACGTATGGATGAGGTAGTATAGTGCGTGGCATCCATATCTATCTTATTGTGGGAAATTTCAAAAGTTTTTTAAAATAAAACATTAGACACATCAAACATTCTTCTGATTAATGTGATGAATGCATTTCTTGTGTACACCGTGTAAATAAGGTATGATTTATGATGATTGTGTCACTGCAATTGTTACCTGCCGCAACAAAATGAGTCGACCAGACATGATGATTAATCTAAAAACAGTGCTGTTTACTGCAGACCACAATTTCAGTGTTGACCTCTAATTAAACATGGTTAATCTTTGACTGTAAGTCATAACATAAGGGATAGTTGTGAAGTACGCTAATATAGAGCTATCATAGCACACCTACAGATCATATCCAAAAAATTAGAATATCATGAAAAAGTTTATTTATTTCCATAATTCCATTCAAAAAGTTAAACTTTCATAGATTATAGATTCAGGGCCCAAAATTTAAATGATTTCAAGTATTTGTTTATTTTTACATAATTTGGGCTTCCAGCTCATGAAACCCACGAAAACAGGAATTCAAAAAAATTCAATACAGTGAAGAAATCAGCCCAAATTCTGTGGGGCATTAATGTTTTAAACTGTGTCACACACTAATCATCTACTAAACTCAAAGCACCTGCACAGGTTTCCACAGGTGTCATTAAATTGCTCCAGTTTGGTTCAGTTGTCTCAGTTCGGTTTAATATGGGGAAGACTGCAGACTTAACTGGCCAGAAGACCATCATTGACACCCTCCATAGGATGGGTAAGCCACAGAAGTTCCTAGCTAAAGAGGCTGGCTGTTCACAGAGTGCTGTGTCCAAGCATATCAATGGAAAGTCTACTGGAAGGGCAAAATGTGGCAGGAGAAGATGCACCGTGGGCTTCAGTGGATTCTCAAACAGAGAAGATTCAAGAATCTGGCAGAGATCCAGAAAGAGTGGACTGAGGCAGGAGTCACAGCTTCAAAAACCACCACATTCAGACGAATCCGGGAGATGGGCTACAGCTGTCGGGTTCCTCGGGTCAAGCCACTTCTGAACCAGAGCCAACGTAGGAAGCGGCTCAACTGGGCCAAGGAGAAGAAGGACTGGACTGTTGGCCAGTGGTCCAAGGTCCTCTTTTCCGATGAAAGTAAAGTGTGCCTTTCATTTGGGAATCAAGGTCCAAGGGTTTGGAGGAAGACGGGTGAGGAACAGAACCCAAGCTGCTTGAGGTCCAGTGTGAAATATCCACAGTCAGTCATGATTTGGGGTGCAATGTCCAGTGCAGGTGTTGGTAAACTCTGCTTTCTTAAATGCAAGGTCACTGCTACAGTCTACCAGAATGTTTTAGAGGACTTTATGATTCCTTCTGTTGAGAATTTGTATGGAGATGCAAATTTCATCTTCGAGCAAGACCTGGCCCCTCCCCATACCGCCAGAAGCACCAAAACCTAGTTTGATGCCTATGCTTGAGTGGCCAGCCAACTCGCCGGACCTAAACCCCATTAAAAATCTATGGGGTATTATTAAGAGGAAAATGAGGGGCACCAGACCCAACAACAAAGAAGAGCTGACAGCAAGCATCAAAGAAATGTGGGCTTCCATAACTCCTATGCAATGCCACAGCCTGATTGCCTCAATGCCACGTCGCATCAAGGCAGTGATTAAGGCAAAGGGATTCCCAACCAAGTATTGATGATTGATATATCATTTTGAAAGTACCATATTTTGATTGATTTCTTTTTTTCTTTATTTATTTTCTGCAAAAACAGTATTCTAATTCACAGTATTCTAATTTATTGAAATCCTGTTTTTGTGGGTTTCATAGCATTGAGGCAGTGATTAAGGTAAAGGGATTCCCAAACAAGTACTAAAGATTGACATATCATTTTGATTTTGATTGATTTGATGTGGTCCTAATTTCTGCAAAAACTGAAAAGTGGATGTTGATTTCTCCACAGTATTCTAATTTTTCTAATTCCTGTTTCCGTGGGTTTCATGAGCTGGAAGCCCAAATTATGTAATAAACAAATAAATACTTAAACTCATTTAAATTGTGGGACCTGAATCTATAATCTATGAAAGTTTAACTTTTTGAATGGAATTATGGAAATAAATAAACTTTTCCACTTGGTCTGTATATGATCATGTAACCCCCGTGTAATGTTATGTGTGTTGTTTCACATTATTAGGCCTAATCCATGACTGTTAGATGTAATATCAGTAAGAGAAACTACTGTTGATGTTTCCCTGTGATACTGTTCAGAATGGCATAGAAGCAGAGGATCCCAGAGGTCGAACACCTTTGCACCTGGCTGTGACACTTGGACACCTTGAGTCAGTGAAAGCCCTTCTGAGACGTGGGGCTCAGGTGACCAAAGAAAATGCCAATAACTGGACAGGTTAGTTTCAAAAACATGTTACAGTAACTATAAGGATTATAGTGAAGTGATGACATATAATTTATATATTTCAAAGGGTTGGGCTTCTGGGTCACCCTCTGCATACACACCATCTGTTGTTAATGGCTTTTCTGTGTTTTAAATGCATGGTAATTCTCTGAGGTTTTCCATTGAGGGGTTTTACTCCTGGCAGTTAGAGGCTGTTTCCTTAAAAACATTTAGTGGTTTGTTAATACATGTTTGTCACTCCGTAGTACTGCAGGAGGCAGTCAGCACAGGGGATCCAGAGATGGTTCAGTTAGTGCTTCAGTGCAGAGACTACATCAAAGCCTCCACTGCTCTGGAAGGAGTGCCTGAGCTGCTGTCAAAGATCAGAGAGGTTTTATTGTTATTCTCCCATCACATTTTTCTGGTAATCTTTGAAAGATTCCGGTAAAATAATCAATTAAACACTTCTGTTTGATGCTGTATTTACAGTCTCCAGATTTCTATATGGAAATGAAGTGGGAATTCACCAGTTGGAGTAAGTGTGTGGTTTGTCCTTGTCAATTGACATTGATTTTAATGTAATTTCACATTGTCAAATGTTCAAGTGTAATATGAAGTCAATGGTTGACTGTGGCCACATATCTAAACAGTGTAAAGTGGTTTTACTGTCATACAGGAAATACCACAAAGTTTATTTTTTGGAGGTGGAGCCTTACAGACTACCATTGTTATCATGGGTGTCTACATTTTTTTTTTTGCCTGTTGTGTTACCTTCATGTACTTTTGCTTCACAGTACCTCTTCTTTCTCGGGTTTGTCCGAGTGATATTTGTCGCATCTGGAAAAGTGGCACCAGCCTACGAGTTGATGCTACTCTGCTCGGCTTTGAAAACATGGCGTGGATACGAGGGCAAAGAAGTTACATCTTCAGAGGAGATGGTGTGCTTCTCAACTTTTATCTCTCTACTTGTTTTTTTTTTGTTGTATCTGTAAAAATGGTAACAGTTTCCCCCTGACGGTTTGGCAGATTCATACGCAGAGCTGATGGAGGTGAACCATGACGAAAAAGTAGTCGACACAGAGCGATTCAACATCTCCCAAGAAATGGAGGATGTGACCCTAGAGTCGATGCAACCAGCTGAACAGGAGGTTGCCAAGAGGTTGACTACACCCACTGTCAACACCTATTTAGACACCAAGGACATTGTATTTGACAGGCAAGAGTCACGTCTTCTTTACTCCTGAAATGTTTCCTTTAATATTGTTTTTGTTTCTTATTGCAAGCTTTTTTCTCTTTACAGGAACAAGTCTGGGATTTGGGGCTGGAGAACTGAAAAATCTGAGCTGGTCAATGGATTTGAAGCAAAGGTTCACAGCAGTTATTCTGTTACTTTTACACTTTCCTGTAGTGCACAGTGTGTCATAGAAACTTATTAAATCATGTAATTATATGTTTGTGATTGTAGGTTTTCAGTGTAAACAACGTAAATGTTGTCATCAGAACAAGGACAGAGCATCTTACAGATGAAGAGAAAGCCAGGATAAAAAGTAAGTAATGTTCATTTTTTATAACTGCTACATTACTATATTGTTATTAAAATAAAACAAACAAACTTTTAAAAGGTGAAAGAAACATCCTGGAATCTCTGCTGGGGACAGTGGAGCAGCATGTTAGTGCACAAGGGGTAAGACACGAGAATAACATTTTAAGATTATATAATTTCAGTTTTATTTGAAAGCCCACCTGTAATGACTGTTTACATCCTAGGACCTCACTCTCGAGTATGCAACTGCAAACAACCCCACTGCCATCACTCCAGAGGAATATTTTGATCCTGATTTTGACCTTGGGAAAAGGGACATTGGTCGACCAATTGAACTAAGCATTAGAACACAGAAGTGGGTTCCACTGACATAAAGTTGAAATAATCTCTTCATTATTTTAGAGTTTACCCATCTTTGTGGTGTGTTATCTTAATATCTTGTCTCCTTTAGATTCAAGGGTACTTTGTGGATGAGTGAGGAACATCCCTTGTCCCTGGTGGAACAGGTGACCCCCATCATTGACCTCATGGCACGTACAAGTTCCCACTTTGCAAGATTACGAGACTTTGTAACCTTAAAGTTTCCTCCGGGATTCCCTGTTAAAATAGGTCAGTGAGTATTTTGAGTTTTTTTTTTTTTTTTTAAAGGAACATTTTCATACTTTAATTTTTAATTTTTTTAAAACTAGGTTTGTGCAATTTTTTTCCAGAGATCCCCCTGTTTCATGTACTGAATGCCAAGATTACCTTTGGTAATGTAAATAAATGCAGCACAGCAGAGGAAACGATCACGACACCAGCCGCTACGCCAACATCCTCAGAAGAAAGTGAAGAAGCTGCAGGTGTGTATGCTGACAGTTTGAATGCTACATCAGATGCATAACTGAGGCCTATAATTAACTGTGTTTGAGTTCTATCCAGTCACGCCTCTGTTCAAGGTGTGTCCCTCTGTGTTTGTGGTGCCCCCTAATTACCATCGCAGAGGTGGAAGCCGTCACACGCCAATGTCAAACAATGATGAGGAGGTCTTACAGTACGCCATCCATCAGAGTCTCTTGGAGTCCCACCGAGTCCCGGGCCAGGTCAGAACACATCTGTCAACTTTCAGTGCTGTTCTTGATTTTGTAGTCGATCACATCACCGAGATGCCTCTGCCTCTTTGTGTCTATTTAGGAGGGAAACTGGAATAATGCAGAATTTGAATTTGCTGATGGTATACCCAATAGCCAGAGTGACAGGTAGGGTGCAAACACAGCATACAGTTACTAGCTGCTTCTTTAACCGTTTTTAGTACTTGGTTGGATCTCTTCACAACTTAATTATTGATATTGGCACAGATTCATTTTCTGAGACATCCTGATTCACATGGACCCATCCTGTTTGGACACCCAAGGGTGCTTAAAAGCATATATGTTTATAATAAACAGTGGGTGAACAGTTGTCCCCGATGAAGTGGTTGAGCAATCCTGGAGAGGATAGTCACACAACTGACATGTCATTCCAGGAGTATCCCAGAGGGGGTGCTAGTGGAATATGGAGATGTTTCCAGTGGTACTAGCTCTGTGTCCATCTCCAGTCCGGATTCAGACCTCCGGCTGGCCATGGAGCTTTCTGCACAAGCTCAGGAGGAAGAGGAGAAAATGAGGAAGCTGGAGGAAGAGGAGCTAGAGAGAATTTTGCAGCTGTCACTTACTGAGAAGTAAAAGGAAAATAGGGAACTATAATATCAGTAATTGTAAAAACACAACTTTATCCAGATTCAGAAACAACAACCTCACCTCAGTCATTCAAACCACTATCTATGCAGACCATTTTGAGACATGCAATATCAAAGTCTTGACATAAAACGATTAAGGTATTTTCCTGGCAAGAGTGTATTACTTTATATATTTCTAGCTCAGCTTTTGTCTGACTCTTTGTAAGTTCCCTTAAGAATATCACGGTTGTTTGACTTTTAATTTATTATCTACTCCACTTCAGACTCATAGCAGTGACCTTCAATTTTTTGAAAATATGATCATCCTTAATGCAGTGGACATAATTATGGCCGAGGTAACTTCATAATGGGTTGAAGATTGTGTCACTCTTTCTTCTTGCTAGCTGTCATTGTCTGCGGAACCTGAAGAGACAGTATTTTTACTGTGAAGTCTCCATGCAGTGTATATGACTGTTGGCTCACTGAATAAACTCAGGGTTCAACTTTTTACACATTTTCACTTCTTTATGTTTGTTAACACACTTTCTTAATCTCTTGGTCTTATTTTCACCTGGTAACACTTTTCCCCTGGTGTGAATTCTTGGTACTTGTGAACTGTGTACTTTACAAATAATGATTGCGAAATCTGGATGAATTTATACAAAAGTTGAGAATGCTTCAAAGGTGTTGTACATGAATGAATGAAGACTCTGCATATGGTCTTACAAAGCATGTCACCTCTGAGAAAAACAAAATACATTTAGAAGCCTGATATCATGCAGCTTCTTTGGCAACAAAGATAATGATTTTATTATTTTTGATCCCTAGTCTTTCATAATGTTTGTAGTTTAAGTGGACTTGTGTGGAGTATACATCACTATGGAAACCTAGAGCGTTATCAGTTCAGTTCAAACATGCAGTAGCAGAAACCAGTCTGCGGATTACTTTGTCAGAAAAATGAAGTGAATTATTCCTAAAGGCAGTCTGCCTGTTTGTAGCCATAAATGACCTTTAGACCTCTACGCAAAAGAGATGACAGCACAGGTTTAGCAGTCAGTTGCTTTCATCATAGGACAAGTGCATTTGCTACGTGCCAACAGACTGTTTTGCTCTGTGAACACAATGAGTTTAAAACATTTATATCAATTATTTTTAACACCACTCAGATTTAACCCTATGGACAGATTATGAGTGAAAGTTTCAATACCTAGAAACTAGGTGATACTGTGTGAGATTAACCACTACACTTAACATCGCTGAGACTGTAGAACTCGCCTTCTGCAGTGTCTCAGGTTGGTTCCACTCCAAGCCAAGGAATTAAAAACAACATCAACATTAAAATCACTATAATTTAAATCACTTAACTATTAAGAAACCTCCTGTAAATGTTCATATTCAAGTAAATACACAGGGTTTGCTGACTTTCTTTCTGAAAACTATTGCTAATGATGGGATTGCCAAACTGCTGAACAGTGAAATGAAATAAAATATTGCTTTAGTTAATTTAATACAGATTTTTGTAACACTGCTCATGCTGTTTGTCAAGAAGCTGCATGTTTAAATGTTAAGAAAATGTTTGGAAAATGTTTTTAAATAAAGGCACTTTATTTGTAAAAGGTGTGGCTGTGAACTCTTACATTATTGAGTCATAAATGTTTTTGTCCTAGGCAGTAAAATGTTATTATTTAAGCCAAGCTCATCTCAACAGTGAATGTAAACAAGATTTTTACCTGCTCACAGGTGCCTCATGTTTATTTAACACCAACAGGTCTTTGCACTAATACTGTCTTTTAAAAACGGCAAACAGAATACCTTTATTTGCAGCATTTCCAATAGTAATAGTGGAATTCTTTGTGTCAATAAATTGTGAAAAACCTGTGAGAGACAAACCTTTCTGAGTAAATTGACCTAAAACAGCTACAACTGGCCACATTTCACCTTCAGTTCTTAAAATGTTACTATATGTGGGATACTGGTAGAAATAACCCAATGCAGTGTTTTGTTATTTGTTGTTGAAAAAGGGAGAAACTTTTAGTATTTACCTAGTTTATTATATATTACATATGCAATATGAGGGCCTCAATTAACCAAAACCATTTTAAGAGATATTTTTATAAAAGGAAGTAATATTTACCTGCAAGTAAAAATGAATCATAATTCCATCAAAATACCTGTGGTTATTTAATTTTACCAATGCCAATACAGGAAGTGATTAATTAATTTTCTTCTACTTCATGTTTTTCAAGATAGCAGGAAGAGCAGGAGCTGATCCTATCAGGCGAGGGTGAGGTCCATGGTAAGAACACAATTCACATTCAAAGTTATTTGAGAGTACTGTCACCCTAAATATTGCATCTTACGCCACGAGTGAAGGAAGTCTGACCGTATATAATGTATACATAAAGACTATCGGTTATCACAAAGATTTGAACAAATTATTTTGTTGTTGTCGGGCAAGAGCATTAACCCCTCTACCACTGTGTGGACCCCACAAGTCATCTTGACCGATATGTAGTCCTTAAATCCCTCTGCTGTTGATATTGTTATTGGCAGGTAGGTGGCAGGGTCGGCAGCTTCTGTCGCTGTCAGGAAAAGAAGAATGTGATGAGCGTTCACTCCGCAGAGGCTAATGATGACCTCCTTATATCACGTGTTCGCACCCACCAGCGTCAATGCACGTCTCCTTTTGTGTTTCTGTTTCTTTTCACCGACGGTTCAGCGGCTTGTAGACACAAACAGCCATGATGATCATGAGCAGCAGCAGCACAGATAGGACGCAGCCCAGCGTCACTTTACGTACAAACAAAAAACACATGCCCAGTAGTATAAACAGCTGTCACAGGTCTGAATAGAGCACTGTGTCGTCGTCATCATCATCATCAGTGTAGTAACACCACTCCACAATCTTACCTAAATTCTGCTTCTGTAAGATCACATACGCTCTGTCGGTCAGTGTGTAGTCCTCTGTTTCTGCGCTGACTATCGCATTTAAACACACGAGTAGAGCTTGTGGTGGGATGAGCTTCAGCATCGTAGCGGTGGATGTACACAGAGGTAGCACTGATGATGGTGATGGAGATCTGGAGGAGGCCTCTCTCCTTCCGCGAAAAAAAAAATCTGGGTCCTAACGCCGTTGGGGGAGGCGTATCTCGTGAGCACGAGAAAGTATATCTAAGATATTTTGCCACTCATACATACAGGGTAATATATTAAAAAAAAAAAAAATTATGTACAGTATGTACGGTACTTAAATGCTCACCATATATACAGTACATATGTCACGCATGTCACGTAACTTTCCCAACCGTGCTTACTGTACATGATTTTTTTTTTAAATGTATAACCCTGTATGTATGTGTGGCAAAATGCAAAATGTCTTAGATATACTTTCTTGTGAGCTCTAGAAAGTATCTCGGGCTCACAAGAAAGTATCTCGTGCTTTTTTCCCTCATGTCCCTTTAGGGGCTCCGTAGAATTCCGTAGGAATTGTGTATAAAATATTTTAATAAATGAGACGTTGTCCATCTATCTTTTATGTTTGAATTTTTAACTCCATTAATATCAAGAGGGTGGCTCTTTGGCCCAGAGTCAATGTCTCTGTCATTGGTGTGGAACCCCAGGGTTCACCTCCTGGGCAAGTTTGAATCCCTGTTAGGGCAGTTGGTACCTTCCAGTGGACTCACCACCCACAGGAAGGTTCAGGGGGGTTGGTACGGTGCAATGTGATTTGAGTGGAGACTGCTGCCCCCGTGACCCGGTAACGGATAATCGGATGAAAATGGATGGATGGATGGAATATCAAGAGGTTGAAAGAAAGTAGAGCCAGTCGGTAGACTCAGGACTGTGACTGATAAGCGTGTATAGATCATAAGTTTATCCACCGCCGTATAAATCCGCCATCCCCAAAAACACATGTCCGTACAAAAAGTGTTCTTCTTTTTGAGTCGGATTGTTTAATTTTAATTCCGAACTTCACTTATGCGGTCCTAGTTATTATTACAATATTTTGTTCTTGTTTAAATATTTTTTTGCACACGCTTTTAAGTAGTTTATAGTTATTTGGTTCAGTTTAAAACTACTTGTCGGGATACTAAAAAAAGTGATTCAAGAATTCAAGTTGTACTCAAAGTGTGACGCTTCTGGATAAACAACGATTTATTATCCATCCATCCATCCATTTTCATCTGCTTATCCGTTACCGGGTCGCGGGGGCAGCAGTCTTCACCCAAATCACATTGTACCGTACCAACCCCCCTGAACCTTCCTGTGGGTGGTGAGTCCACTGGAAGGTACCAACCGCCCTAACTGGGATTTGAACTTGCCCAGGAGGTGAACCCTGGGGTTCCACACCAATGACAGAGACATTGCCTCTGGGCCAAAGCGCCACAACGATTTATTAGTTGTTGATATTAAATTGGTGTGTCTAAGTAAAGATGGAGATATATTTTGCTATTTGATGTATTTATAGTGTCTTCCTCTTCAACTCTCTTCTTCTTTTTCTTTCGGCTTTGTCCCTTTTTTTCAGGGGTTGCCACAGCAGATCATTGATTTCCATCTCTCCATGTTCTCTGCATCTTCTAGTCTGACTCCATCCATCTGCATGTCCTCCCTCACTGCATCCATATATCTCCTCTTTGGCCTTCCTCTCTTTCTCCTACCTGGTAGCTCCATCTCTAACATTCTTCTACCAATGTATCCACTGTCCCTCCTCTGCACATGTCCAAACCATCTCAATCTGGCTTCTCTAGCTTTTTCTCCAAACCTTCCTGTCTGTGTTGTCCCTCTAATGACCTCATTCACGATCATGTCCATTCTTGTCACTCCTAAAGACAATCTTAGCATCTTTAACTCTGCCACCTCCAGCTCCTCCTCCTGTCTTCTGCCTATTGCTACTGTCTCTAAA